AAATAAATTAATTTGTTTTTCCTTATGATTCTATGCTTTTGGGACACCCTGTACTAATAATGAATACATTTCATTTTTTAATCAAAAGTTTTCAGAGCAATTTTTAAAGTACAGAGATTGTCCCAAGAAAATTTAAAAAATATATTTAGGATGTTCTTTGAAGTTATATTTCCATTTCGTAAGTTAAACTATTCTAATCGTTTAGAAAATTTCTTAAGTAGATTCTATTATAATTAGATGCATAGAAAATATCAAAATTTAATAAATATATTGATTGATATTTATATTTGATTTTATTTAGATGACAGTGTTGCTAATTAATTCAAACTATCTTAAATATCACTATTTTATTTTAAATGTAAAATTACTATAATAGAATAATTATTTTAAAGAAATACTGGTGATACTACTAAAGTTCAAAGATTATTTTATCATTTTTATAATTATTTTAATATAATTAATAAGACTTGTGTAAAATTTATTATAACAACAATTATGGTTTAATTAGTAGTACAGCACTGGATTACTAAGTAAATGAGCCAGGATTTAATCTTTGTTTCTGCCTGTTGCAGTCTGTGTAGATCTGAGATCCATTTAAGCCTCCTTTCCAATGGTTACCTGGATGGTGATCTTTGAAGAATAAAGTCAAAGTTGCCATGGAGCTGGATACCTGACCTACTTCTATGGCTGGGCCTTGAATAGGAATGATCTTATACCATCTCTCCCTAATATACTTTCAAGAAACACTGGAAGGGGCACCTTAGACTTCTTTTTTTATTAATTAATTATTCAATTAATTATCAAAGTAAAATAATAAATTCTTAAATAGTCGTTCTAAGAAAATAATATTCAGGCTTCTTGCCAATAATAAAAGTTATTATTAGGTTTGTTATTAAGTTATTAGGTTTGTTGACTTAATATAAGTCAATTTTAGATAAAGGGAGAAAATGTATTATCTAAAAGTTTCAACATTTACTTACTTTTCTTTTTCATTGTATTATTTATTTAAAAATAATTTTTTTTTACTAAAAAGTAGAAAATGGAAACTAATCCCAATTGCAAGATCTTTCTTTTAGTTGTGCATTATAACTGTTTTGGTTATTTTTATATTACCAGTATATACAAATAACATCTAAAACCTGATAGTTATATATTAAAACCAAATAATTGCCAGATTATATCTGGCTCTATTATTATTACTAAATTATTAATAAGTAAATGCTAAGTAATTTGGCACTAGAGGTAGGCATTGGGCATCATCTCTTGTTAAATATACCATATTTACTCGCATATAAGACAAGGTTTTTATTAATTTATCACAGTTTCATATTCCTAGGTCTTCCTATATGTATGAGCGAAAGATTCTTTGCGTTTTTGCATATAATTTTTGTGAACCATGTATTTGCATTTTTTACTGGATGCTTACCCTCTTGTATTTAAAAACAAAAGTATTTTATCCAGATCGTTTGAATCATTCTTGTATATTGTTGAGTAAAGATGAATAGCAATAGGAAAAGCAAAGCTTTTGAATTGAATTCCAAATTGAAATTCCAAAATCACATGGGAGCTCAATATAAGTTTTAATCCATTCCCACATGAAAACAGTTGATTATTTGGAAATCAGAATTTGGAGAAACTCATAAGTGTAATTGACGGAGGGTGAATTCGACTGTTAAGATATCAATCGACTGTTAAGAATTGGTAAAAAAGGTTCCCTTTTTTGCCAATTCTTAACGGTCGAATTCACCCTCCATCTGATTGTCCAACTTTACATGAACAAATCATGTTGTTGATTTTACAAGATTTTTCCTTAAAGTCTAAAATGTCAGTAATTTTTGTGGGACAATGTGTGCATTTATCCTCATTTGATATTTTACTTGTGATTAAATGAAATAAAATTAGAATTGTATTAATAAATCTAATTTTCTTTATTTTTATCTTTAAAGTCACACCTCGTCCTATATGCGAGGTCATCTAATATGTGAGTAAGTATAATTCAATTAATATTTTAATAATTAATTTAAAAGGTTCTGGAGGAAGAGAATTGGCCCAAAGTGGAACTTGAACCTATAACTCCTGCTTACTAAGCAGTTGCATTATCAGTTATACTCAGTGGTGATATTCAGCGGGTTCGCACAGGTTCGGCCGAACCCGTTGTTAACATTTTCAAAGTTTTCAGAACCTTGTTAAACACATGTAACATTTCTCAATGGTTTGATTCTTTTAAAAATATTAAAATATATGTATTATACCCTGTAACACTACTAAACTAGAGGCTTCCGATGCACCATTTGAGCGAAAAAAAAATTGTCAAGGAAAAATTTCTGTCCTTTGTTAAATATTTCGAATGTCATCACTGGTTACACTACCAGGACCTTCATCTGATTTTTGTTTCCAAAACTATTAATTTAGATATAATCATACTTTGTTATTTTGTTAAATTATAATTATTAAATTTAGCAAGAGATGGTACCTAATACCTGCTTATAATGCCAAGTTACTTAGCATTTAATTATTAATAGTAGTAGTAATACAACCTGATATAATATGGCATACATTTGACTTTATTATGGGTATATTTAATGTTTTAACACTACATTAATTAAGAACTTTTGAATTCTTGCAAAATTATTTATAAATGTTTATAATAGGCATGGGCGTAGCCACAGTTTTGTTATGGGGGATGTAGTAGAAGCCAACCTGCCACAAAATTGAATTATTTCAAATTATTGTTCGTTAAAATGAAAATTCCATGATAATCGACGATAACTTAACACATGAAATATGAAACTTCCTTTAATCATAACATTGGGCACAGGGAGTCGTTAACCCCCCTTTTTGTTTTAGTATTCAAAATTTTTACCTTTAAGTTTTTCTTTCTTTTTGCAAATCAGCTCAACACTTTTTCGGCTGTGATTTTCTGGGGGGCCATGCCCACCCAGGCCGCCCTTGCTACGCCCATGATAATAGAGTTAAATTTGTTTGTCGATAAAAATGCAGAATTTATATTCAAACAAGTTGTAAACTGAATATCAATAGCAAATAATCAAAACCTGTACTAACCAGAACTAATTTCATAATTTAGTCTTAGAAAGTATTTTCATCCTTTTTAATCTTCATATAAATGTGCTAAAAATTATTCATTTACAAAATATTTGATATTGCTAAGCAACTATAAGGTCAGAGCAGCAAATCAACTGAAATTCACTTTGAGAGCCCTAGGCAAATGTCTTTTAGCCTATAACATAATTAGTAGCATGTTATAACATAACATGCTACTGAATATTGCAACAATAATAATGACATTTTTTAATATACAATACAGGCTATAGAATATAATTAGCTATCAATATAAATTTGCATTGATTTTTGCTGATGAAGCTCCTTTTATCTAAAGATATACTGTTTCTGGCCAGTTACTAAATAATTTGGTTATCACAATCTACCATTTATACAATTGTATTTACCATATACCTTCTAACAATAGTATTCCATATTTAAATTCTATAATCTGATTCTATTATTGGTATCTAGTATTGGTAATTAATGCAATAAACACAATACATTTTTATAGAAGTCAGAATATCTCCTTTTAATTAAAAAATATTTTGATGTTATGTTGCTATTTACCAGTTACATAATATATAAATTAGTCTATACAATTAAGTGGTGGGTCTCTATTAAAAAGTTTATATACATGCATTTAATGATGATATTGAATTCTTAAATATATTCATGATTGGATGAATTCTGAAAATGGCATGCATCATGAAATTAATGCTTTTCAAGTAGATAAATTCTCTGTCAGCTGCTCTTTTTCCTAGAGACAAGTACAGTTAAACATTAAGTACCTTTTAGAAAAATTTAAAATTAATTAACAAATTGTGTGTAAATTTTAAAACAGTAAAAATAATCAAGTATTAATTTTACTAGATACTAATTATAAAGTAATATATTAATTAAAATATTCATTTCTACAGCCAAAACCTGCATCTAAACCTGGATTATTTTTACAGTAGAAATAAGCTGTTTAAACAAATTCTATAATTTAATCAATTAATAAAGGTATATGGTTAAGGTACTTTTTTTGTGCTGTAACTAATAATTAGAAATTAATTTTGAATTTTAATTAAATAAGAAAATTTTGGGGCTTGAATCTACTTATATGTAACATGCATATGTATTTCCAGTTATACTATTTGAACCTCTATCTGATATTTGCTTCCAGATTTACATTTACTTAGTTGTAAATTTATTATCACACTGATTCATAAAATTTCATCAAAAATGTCTATGACCACAAAAGTTTTTGACCTTGTTTAAAAGCCATCTTTAGGCTACATGGTATTGAATTACAAAACTGTTAATGGTTTTCAGTAAAACATATTACAAAATTCAAAACAAGTCAAAAGTTAAAATATTCCAAGAGTAAAATGTTTTAAATTTACATCATTAAAAAAAATGAGGATGCTTTTTAAACAAAGTTGAAAGTGTAGCCTCTCTTGTGACACACTTTCAGCCTTGCATAGCAACAATTAGTTAGCAAAGTAATAATTAAGTAATAGTGATATCTTTTGTTTATGGCTCTCAGCTGGCTCTAGCAAGATTATATATATAAATATACAATGTATTCATTTTTAAGTATTATATATAAGAGTAAAGTGTTAAAGTTATAATCGTGAATGTAACAACAAATATAAGCATAAACCCAATATATCCACAAATAATTGTTGTAAAAAGTTAGAATGACTGTATTTAATCATCATAAATGGATATTTAGTCCTTGGAATGTTTAACTTAAACATTTTATGAGGAAAGTTTAAGAATTTGAATTGATTATTCAAAAAACTTTTTTTGAATGTACTGTACTTATACAACATTGTGGTTTTTCTAACTACTAGAAAAAATTAATGGATATATTAAATTTCTTTATAATTATATTATGTTTTCATATTTATTTCAGCACAGTTCTATATTTGAATCATCACTTCTCTTCCCAGGTAGCAAGGTAACTCAAACAACAGATGTAAAATGCACATCTTTGGATGAAGTCTTAGATTCCTTACTGGCAATACCTCTCAGTTCCCGTTCATCAAGTCCTACAACACCACGGAGAGATGCCAGTCCACTCATTGGACATGTGCCAACTGCCAAAACTCATATCTATCCAAGCGCACGAACTCCTCAGGATCTTCAGTTTCCAAATTTTATGGAAAGATTCTCTTTACCTTCAAAACCTGCATCTGCTGAAACCACTCACAGAAGACCTCTTACAGATAGTTTTTTGGAAACTGCAGCTAAAGAAGAATCTTTTAATCCTATACAGATCAGAGAATTAACATCAAGTCCTTCTTCAACATTCCGAAGAGAATTTCCTGAGAGCGAAAGAGGCAAAGTTACATCCCAAGATTCAACTCAACGAAGTGGAAATCAGGATGGCCAGGGTAAGAACCCCGCTCCAAGCCCAGCACCTTTCCTTCTGTCCCAATCACCTCACCCGTACCTTAACCTTGAATGCTGCAGCAACCAAGAAGTTCTTCCAAAGGACAACCAGGTGACACATGGTTCCTTCTGTCACAGCACCTACTGGAAGCCGATGGTGGATCCTGAGGGCCATACAAGCAACGTGGAGGTTTTGAAACAGAGAGAGGAAGAGGATGCAGTCAAAGGTGAGTCGTCCAATCTGTCTGCATCAGAAGAAGCACCTCACTCGTCTTCAGAATGCATGGTTAGTGTTACTAGTGGTAGAAAATTATCTATGTGGCATGTATCCTTTCCTGTATCAAGTAGCAATCCTATAACATCTAGTAAGATAGCAGAAATCACCGATCCTTCACTCACCTTTCATGAAAAGCACCCGATGGCATCACTTGAAGCACACACTCAGCACACAGATCAGGTGATAAGAAAAGGAGTAAGTGAGCAGAAACAGGCTCAATTTTGTACTTTGCATGTATCAAACCTTTACTTATGCATGTTTTCCTTTCTTCACCTTACTTGCTTGTCTCTTATGGAACCCTCAGAACCTCCCTGCATGCCATATGTGCAAGAGGGTATCCACATAACAAATAATCAAACTTCTGTTTCTAATTTTATCTCTGGAAATACTTATTTAGGTAAATCAGAAGAAGATGATGATGATGATCAAGAAGATAAGATTGTCAATCCTTTTGAGACTATGCAGGAATCTGTTCATGGAACAACTAAATCCACTGGGACAATCAAGTGCCAACGACCCAAATGTAATAAATCACTGCCGGTGGACGAAGCCCGTTCCAAATTTCGCACTTGTCCAAACTGTTATACCTATTACTGTAGTAGACAGTGCAGAAAATTGCATTGGGCAAGACATCAGGGCAAGTGTCCACAGACTAAAATTAGCAACTTGTGCAAACAAGTACTGATGAAAGTACGTGATGATCCTACATCTAGGCGGCATTTATCCACTTGTGCCAGAAGGGGTTTCCTATCACGTGGTCGAGGTGCAGTTAAGTTAATGTTCCCCTGCCAAGATGATGCCTTGGATTACTTGTGTAAAGGATGGGATGCAGTCAAAGCTCAGACCATCTATATATCTCGATCAGATCTCTTAGCCTCTGAAATTGGTTCAGATATCTTCAGCCAAGTTAGAACTCTATGCGAAAAGTACAATCCAGACAGGAAATTTGTTCTTTTGGCAGCTATCATGATTATTAGTGAAGGAAGTGGATCACCTAGTGGATTCTTAGATAGAGAAGTAGTGGTTAGGGGTACAAAATTACATCTTGCACCTCCATTAGTGGAAGATGATGTGCCCACTTTAATATTAACTGTCATCAAAGAGCCACATCCTACAGAAACTACTTATGAAGACAGGTTGAGTGGTATGAGGTCTATAGAAAATCAGTTATCGGACAGAGGAGTGATTCTTTCGGAACAGTTTCCAGAGGTGTACTCAAAATTGAATCAGTTCGTCGAAAAGAATGAATCATTTGCACCTGTTAATATATTCCCAACAGACAAGAGAACAAAGAAGCTATTTATGTGCATCATATTGCCTTGGGCAGATGGTGATATTATTCTTAATATATCCTCGAAAACCAGCAGGGTCAGGTCAAAAAAGAAACACTGAATATTTTTATTGATTTCTTTATATTATTCAAGAATAGATTTTAATCTATATTATTATAATTAGAAAATAAAATTTTCTGTGATAACATGTCCAACTAGGTCTGAACTGAAACAAGCCTATCTGCTGAAGGATGAATAAACTCTTATGTATGCAATTTGAAACTTCAAAAATTACCAACAGCATTTAGGAATGAGACAGTACAGTCCTAGTAAATTAAATTTCCATATTATCAACTGTTCTATATAATAAACAAGAAGAGAACAGCTTTTAATAATGGAAGATATTTCATTATGTTGTATGTCTGTTATGAAACACACTTATATCCATCTTATACAGAAACCTGCTATAATATAGAAATTATATATATTTTTTAATATGATTTCCTGATTGTTTATAAATTATGGGATAGTTTTAAAAGTGTTAAATGAAAAGATGAATGAATTAAAGTTTGCAAGTTCTCAGTCAAGGAAAATCTCATATTACAACTTTGTATTATTCTTATCTAATTCTTTAGCTGCAAAAACAACTTACAAAATCTAATAGTTTCCTTGTTTTTGATATAAAATTAAAAAAAAACTATTATCCTTATCAAACTAAAATATAGAATATATTTACTTGCTAATGATGACAAAATAATGCATAAAAAATTCATAAATCTCTGCTTCATAATAAAATAAATTATTCTGTCAAAAACTATTAACAAGCAAGATAAATTTTAAAAAAAATTATTATATATCAATTTTCTAGTCATAGGTCATTTATGTTGCATAGAAGCTTCTTATGATTCTTTATATAGATTTGAACATCAAAAGAAAAGTTACAAATGAAAAATGTTTAAATTTAAAGAGTTACAATTTGAACCATATTTTATGATTTTATGATTTACAAAAGACAAAAGTATTTTGTAAATCAAAATATGTATGCAACAACTAATACATTATTCTAATTTAAAAAAAAAAGCTTTTTTAATAATTTGATTATTAAAAAATGACAGATAAAGTAACAGCATAATCATAAGCATAACAGATTATCAAAATTATTTTAAAATAATAATGCACCTCAAAGCCTGTTACCAGTGTGAAATTAACACCAAAAAATGAAAAATTAATTTCCACAAACATTTTTGAACCTTCCAAATGGACTGTAATTAACTTCGGTGTTTGGTAGTGTGGAATTGTAATAATTAGCAATGCAGGCTAATCTATATATTTTAAAATACTTATATCATCACAATATATGGAAAATTTATTTAAAATGAATATTGTAAGTTATACTGTGCTATATTTTTTTACTTTTTGTTATATACAAATTTTTTTTTAAATAAAGGACTAATGGAATCAATTGACAGTGATATTTATAGTAGAACTANCGTTTTTTGTACATATATATATATATTTTAAATTTTTAATATTTGTTTAGAAATGGCAGTGTGCACAACAACGTCGTTACTATAGCAACAGCATCCGTAAATTCATTTCACACTCGCTTATTGTGAAATCAAGTATTGATTTAATAAATTAATCACGAATTTTATAAATTTTTTAGGATTTAACGCTTTTTTTAATCTTTAAGCTTACAATAGCCTAATTTTACATCTTAATATTTAATGTAAATGAGATCAAATCAATTCGAAACGTTGGAGTGATGATGAGGATGGAGATGTGATGCTGGGCTTTTTTCCTTCAAAAATTTGAATTTAGTCGTAAACAGATGTTACATTCCTGAGAATAAAAGCATATGCTTGTATTTTTTATCAGGAGAGTAGTGAATAAGATGCAATCGACATGGATTATTTGATTAGAAAATTTGGAATTTGCATATTTTGATTTAGATTCTTATAGTAGAATTATTATTTTCATTCCGATAGAGATTATATGAAAAAGAAATATATATAAGTGGAATCAAATCATTCTCTTATGTTATCTTCAAATGATTCTATTGAGAGAATGTTTTGAAAATAATGTAGGGTGAAGGTAAAAAGATAATTCTTAGTAGTTATCAGTTCATTTTTAATGTATAAAATCATCAAATTCATTCAAGATTAACATAAATAAATTATTTAACTACAAATTCAAATATATTTAGAGGATATATATAAAAATTTCTTCTGTCAAGATAAACTGAACTGAAGGGACAGAGAAATTAGATGGAGTATAAAACAATTACAAATATAACACCCAAATTCTCTCTGAAAATTATGGAAAAAACTGGTTTCTCATGTACTTTTTGCAGATTATATACTATATACTATTGGCACAACTATCTCCAGTGTGATCTATTGTTTGTTGCTGTAAAGTTTTCCAATGTCTACATCCTGCAAAACTTATGTAATTAAATGTACTATACAGTACCTAATCCTGGAATAACTGGGCTTTCTTTTTTCCTTTATTCTACAATTATTTGATTTCATTCTTGCCATGTTTTAAAAATATGTAAATAAAATGAACAAGCAGATCTTTTAAACATTTATCAAAAGAAACATTAATTTATATTACTTTTGTACCTTTTTTTTATATAAGAGAGTAAATCTTCTGTCAGGAGTATGAATCAAATAGCTCTGTTGGCTTCAATAGCTGAGCTTAGGAATAAATATTACTAATAAAGATATGTAGATTGGTTTCCATTAAAAAAACCAATTATTTTTTACTGATGCTTCCAATAACAATACAGCAATATCAATAGTTACATTCACATGAAATGATATAGTTATATATGAATTTTCTTATGAGTTACTGAGTTTGAATAGCTTATAATTTATATTTATTTTTGTATTTGGTTATCAGTTTTGGACATTTTAAAATTCTAATTTGGTTATTTCTTAAAAAACTTTTTCTAATGTGAATCTATAATTATCCTGAAAAATGAGATATAATAATTTCAAAAATGTTTTTAATTTAGTCTAAAAAATTTATTTTAAAATAATAATGTTTCTTTTTAAGTATTAATCTTAAAAAATAAAAAGAAATAAATTAATTTGTTTTTCCTTATGATTCTATGCTTTTGGGACACCCTGTACTAATAATGAATACATTTCATTTTTTAATCAAAAGTTTTCAGAGCAATTTTTAAAGTACAGAGATTGTCCCAAGAAAATTTAAAAAATATATTTAGGATGTTCTTTGAAGTTATATTTCCATTTCGTAAGTTAAACTATTCTAATCGTTTAGAAAATTTCTTAAGTAGATTCTATTATAATTAGATGCATAGAAAATATCAAAATTTAATAAATATATTGATTGATATTTATATTTGATTTTATTTAGATGACAGTGTTGCTAATTAATTCAAACTATCTTAAATATCACTATTTTATTTTAAATGTAAAATTACTATAATAGAATAATTATTTTAAAGAAATACTGGTGATACTACTAAAGTTCAAAGATTATTTTATCATTTTTATAATTATTTTAATATAATTAATAAGACTTGTGTAAAATTTATTATAACAACAATTATGGTTTAATTAGTAGTACAGCACTGGATTACTAAGTAAATGAGCCAGGATTTAATCTTTGTTTCTGCCTGTTGCAGTCTGTGTAGATCTGAGATCCATTTAAGCCTCCTTTCCAATGGTTACCTGGATGGTGATCTTTGAAGAATAAAGTCAAAGTTGCCATGGAGCTGGATACCTGACCTACTTCTATGGCTGGGCCTTGAATAGGAATGATCTTATACCATCTCTCCCTAATATACTTTCAAGAAACACTGGAAGGGGCACCTTAGACTTCTTTTTTTATTAATTAATTATTCAATTAATTATCAAAGTAAAATAATAAATTCTTAAATAGTCGTTCTAAGAAAATAATATTCAGGCTTCTTGCCAATAATAAAAGTTATTATTAGGTTTGTTATTAAGTTATTAGGTTTGTTGACTTAATATAAGTCAATTTTAGATAAAGGGAGAAAATGTATTATCTAAAAGTTTCAACATTTACTTACTTTTCTTTTTCATTGTATTATTTATTTAAAAATAATTTTTTTTTACTAAAAAGTAGAAAATGGAAACTAATCCCAATTGCAAGATCTTTCTTTTAGTTGTGCATTATAACTGTTTTGGTTATTTTTATATTACCAGTATATACAAATAACATCTAAAACCTGATAGTTATATATTAAAACCAAATAATTGCCAGATTATATCTGGCTCTATTATTATTACTAAATTATTAATAAGTAAATGCTAAGTAATTTGGCACTAGAGGTAGGCATTGGGCATCATCTCTTGTTAAATATACCATATTTACTCGCATATAAGACAAGGTTTTTATTAATTTATCACAGTTTCATATTCCTAGGTCTTCCTATATGTATGAGCGAAAGATTCTTTGCGTTTTTGCATATAATTTTTGTGAACCATGTATTTGCATTTTTTACTGGATGCTTACCCTCTTGTATTTAAAAACAAAAGTATTTTATCCAGATCGTTTGAATCATTCTTGTATATTGTTGAGTAAAGATGAATAGCAATAGGAAAAGCAAAGCTTTTGAATTGAATTCCAAATTGAAATTCCAAAATCACATGGGAGCTCAATATAAGTTTTAATCCATTCCCACATGAAAACAGTTGATTATTTGGAAATCAGAATTTGGAGAAACTCATAAGTGTAATTGACGGAGGGTGAATTCGACTGTTAAGATATCAATCGACTGTTAAGAATTGGTAAAAAAGGTTCCCTTTTTTGCCAATTCTTAACGGTCGAATTCACCCTCCATCTGATTGTCCAACTTTACATGAACAAATCATGTTGTTGATTTTACAAGATTTTTCCTTAAAGTCTAAAATGTCAGTAATTTTTGTGGGACAATGTGTGCATTTATCCTCATTTGATATTTTACTTGTGATTAAATGAAATAAAATTAGAATTGTATTAATAAATCTAATTTTCTTTATTTTTATCTTTAAAGTCACACCTCGTCCTATATGCGAGGTCATCTAATATGTGAGTAAGTATAATTCAATTAATATTTTAATAATTAATTTAAAAGGTTCTGGAGGAAGAGAATTGGCCCAAAGTGGAACTTGAACCTATAACTCCTGCTTACTAAGCAGTTGCATTATCAGTTATACTCAGTGGTGATATTCAGCGGGTTCGCACAGGTTCGGCCGAACCCGTTGTTAACATTTTCAAAGTTTTCAGAACCTTGTTAAACACATGTAACATTTCTCAATGGTTTGATTCTTTTAAAAATATTAAAATATATGTATTATACCCTGTAACACTACTAAACTAGAGGCTTCCGATGCACCATTTGAGCGAAAAAAAAATTGTCAAGGAAAAATTTCTGTCCTTTGTTAAATATTTCGAATGTCATCACTGGTTACACTACCAGGACCTTCATCTGATTTTTGTTTCCAAAACTATTAATTTAGATATAATCATACTTTGTTATTTTGTTAAATTATAATTATTAAATTTAGCAAGAGATGGTACCTAATACCTGCTTATAATGCCAAGTTACTTAGCATTTAATTATTAATAGTAGTAGTAATACAACCTGATATAATATGGCATACATTTGACTTTATTATGGGTATATTTAATGTTTTAACACTACATTAATTAAGAACTTTTGAATTCTTGCAAAATTATTTATAAATGTTTATAATAGGCATGGGCGTAGCCACAGTTTTGTTATGGGGGACGTAGTAGAAGCCAACCTGCCACAAAATTGAATTATTTCAAATTATTGTTCGTTAAAATGAAAATTCCATGATAATCGACGATAACTTAACACACATGAAATATGAAACTTCCTTTAATCATAACATTGGGCACAGGGAGTCGTTAACCCCCCCTTTTTGTTTTAGTATTCAAAATTTTTACCTTTAAGTTTTTCTTTCTTTTTGCAAATCAGCTCAACACTTTTTCGGCTGTGATTTTCTGGGGGGCCATGCCCACCCAGGCCGCCCTTGCTACGCCCATGATAATAGAGTTAAATTTGTTTGTCGATAAAAATGCAGAATTTATATTCAAACAAGTTGTAAACTGAATATCAATAGCAAATAATCAAAACCTGTACTAACCAGAACTAATTTCATAATTTAGTCTTAGAAAGTATTTTCATCCTTTTTAATCTTCATATAAATGTGTTAAAAATTATTCATTTACAAAATATTTGATATTGCTAAGCAACTATAAGGTCAGAGCAGCAAATCAACTGAAATTCACTTTGAGAGCCCTAGGCAAATGTCTTTTAGCCTATAACATAATCAGTAGCATGTTATAACATAACATGCTACTGAATATTGCAACAATAATAATGACATTTTTTAATATACAATACAGGCTATAGAATATAATTAGCTATCAATATAAATTTGCATTGATTTTTGCTGATAAAGCTCCTTTTATCTAAAGATATACTGTTTCTGGCCAGTTACTAAATAATTTGGTTATCACAATCTACCATTTATACAATTGTATTTACCATATACCTTCTAACAATAGTACTCCATATTTAAATTCTATAATCTGATTCTATTATTGGTATCTAGTATTGGTAATTAATGCAATAAACACAATACATTTTTATAGAAGTCAGAATATCTCCTTTTAATTAAAAAATATTTTGATGTTATGTTGCTATTTACCAGTTACATAATATATAAATTAGTCTATACAATTAAGTGGTGGGTCTCTATTAAAAAGTTTATATACATGCATTTAATGATGATATTGAATTCTTAAATATATTCATGATTGGATGAATTCTGAAAATGGCATGCATCATGAAATTAATGCTTTTCAAGTAGATAAATTCTCTGTCAGCTGCTCTTTTTCCTAGAGACAAGTACAGTTAAACATTAAGTACCTTTTAGAAAAATTTAAAATTAATTAACAAATTGTGTGTAAATTTTAAAACAGTAAAAATAATCAAGTATTAATTTTACTAGATACTAATTATAAAGTAATATATTAATTAAAATATTCATTTCTACAGCCAAAACCTGCATCTAAACCTGGATTATTTTTACAGTAGAAATAAGCTGTTTAAACAAATTCTATAATTTAATCAATTAATAAAGGTATATGGTTAAGGTACTTTTTTTGTGCTGTAACTAATAATTAGAAATTAATTTTGAATTTTAATTAAATAAGAAAATTTTGGGGCTTGAATCTACTTATATGTAACATGCATATGTATTTCCAGTTATACTATTTGAACCTCTATCTGATATTTGCTTCCAGATTTACATTTACTTAGTTGTAAATTTATTATCACACTGATTCATAAAATTTCATCAAAAATGTCTATGACCACAAAAGTTTTTGACCTTGTTTAAAAGCCATCTTTAGGCTACATGGTATTGAATTACAAAACTGTTAATGGTTTTCAGTAAAACATATTACAAAATTCAAAACAAGTCAAAAGTTAAAATATTCCAAGAGTAAAATGTTTTAAATTTACATCATTAAAAAAAATGAGGATGCTTTTTAAACAAAGTTGAAAGTGTAGCCTCTCTTGTGACACACTTTCAGCCTTGCATAGCAACAATTAGTTAGCAAAGTAATAATTAAGTAATAGTGATATCTTTTGTTTATGGCTCTCAGCTGGCTCTAGCAAGATTATATATATAAATATACAATGTATTCATTTTTAAGTATTATATATAAGAGTAAAGTGTTAAAGTTATAATCGTGAATGTAACAACAAATATAAGCATAAACCCAATATATCCACAAATAATTGTTGTAAAAAGTTAGAATGACTGTATTTAATCATCATAAATGGATATTTAGTCCTTGGAATGTTTAACTTAAACATTTTATGAGGAAAGTTTAAGAATTTGAATTGATTATTCAAAAAACTTTTTTTGAATGTACTGTACTTATACAACATTGTGGTTTTTCTAACTACTAGAAAAAATTAATGGATATATTAAATTTCTTTATAATTATATTATGTTTTCATATTTATTTCAGCACAGTTCTATATTTGAATCATCACTTCTCTTCCCAGGTAGCAAGGTAACTCAAACAACAGATGTAAAATGCACATCTTTGGATGAAGTCTTAGATTCCTTACTGGCAATACCTCTCAGTTCCCGTTCATCAAGTCCTACAACACCACGGAGAGATGCCAGTCCACTCATTGGACATGTGCCAACTGCCAAAACTCATATCTATCCAAGCGCACGAACTCCTCAGGATCTTCAGTTTCCAAATTTTATGGAAAGATTCTCTTTACCTTCAAAACCTGCATCTGCTGAAACCACTCACAGAAGACCTCTTACAGATAGTTTTTTGGAAACTGCAGCTAAAGAAGAATCTTTTAATCCTATACAGATCAGAGAATTAACATCAAGTCCTTCTTCAACATTCCGAAGAGAATTTCCTGAGAGCGAAAGAGGCAAAGTTACATCCCAAGATTCAACTCAACGAAGTGGAAATCAGGATGGCCAGGGTAAGAACCCCGCTCCAAGCCCAGCACCTTTCCTTCTGTCCCAATCACCTCACCCGTACCTTAACCTTGAATGCTGCAGCAACCAAGAAGTTCTTCCAAAGGACAACCAGGTGACACATGGTTCCTTCTGTCACAGCACCTACTGGAAGCCGATGGTGGATCCTGAGGGCCATACAAGCAACGTGGAGGTTTTGAAACAGAGAGAGGAAGAGGATGCAGTCAAAGGTGAGTCGTCCAATCTGTCTGCATCAGAAGAAGCACCTCACTCGTCTTCAGAATGCATGGTTAGTGTTACTAGTGGTAGAAAATTATCTATGTGGCATGTATCCTTTCCTGTATCAAGTAGCAATCCTATAACATCTAGTAAGATAGCAGAAATCACCGATCCTTCACTCACCTTTCATGAAAAGCACCCGATGGCATCACTTGAAGCACACACTCAGCACACAGATCAGGTGATAAGAAAAGGAGTAAGTGAGCAGAAACAGGCTCAATTTTGTACTTTGCATGTATCAAACCTTTACTTATGCATGTTTTCCTTTCTTCACCTTACTTGCTTGTCTCTTATGGAACCCTCAGAACCTCCCTGCATGCCATATGTGCAAGAGGGTATCCACATAACAAATAATCAAACTTCTGTTTCTAATTTTATCTCTGGAAATACTTATTTAGGTAAATCAGAAGAAGATGATGATGATGATCAAGAAGATAAGATTGTCAATCCTTTTGAGACTATGCAGGAATCTGTTCATGGAACAACTAAATCCACTGGGACAATCAAGTGCCAACGACCCAAATGTAATAAATCACTGCCGGTGGACGAAGCCCGTTCCAAATTTCGCACTTGTCCAAACTGTTATACCTATTACTGTAGTAGACAGTGCAGAAAATTGCATTGGGCAAGACATCAGGGCAAGTGTCCACAGACTAAAATTAGCAACTTGTGCAAACAAGTACTGATGAAAGTACGTGATGATCCTACATCTAGGCGGCATTTATCCACTTGTGCCAGAAGGGGTTTCCTATCACGTGGTCGAGGTGCAGTTAAGTTAATGTTCCCCTGCCAAGATGATGCCTTGGATTACTTGTGTAAAGGATGGGATGCAGTCAAAGCTCAGACCATCTATATATCTCGATCAGATCTCTTAGCCTCTGAAATTGGTTCAGATATCTTCAGCCAAGTTAGAACTCTATGCGAAAAGTACAATCCAGACAGGAAATTTGTTCTTTTGGCAGCTATCATGATTATTAGTGAAGGAAGTGGATCACCTAGTGGATTCTTAGATAGAGAAGTAGTGGTTAGGGGTACAAAATTACATCTTGCACCTCCATTAGTGGAAGATGATGTGCCCACTTTAATATTAACTGTCATCAAAGAGCCACATCCTACAGAAACTACTTATGAAGACAGGTTGAGTGGTATGAGGTCTATAGAAAATCAGTTATCGGACAGAGGAGTGATTCTTTCGGAACAGTTTCCAGAGGTGTACTCAAAATTGAATCAGTTCGTCGAAAAGAATGAATCATTTGCACCTGTTAATATATTCCCAACAGACAAGAGAACAAAGAAGCTATTTATGTGCATCATATTGCCTTGGGCAGATGGTGATATTATTCTTAATATATCCTCGAAAACCAGCAGGGTCAGGTCAAAAAAGAAACACTGAATATTTTTATTGATTTCTTTATATTATTCAAGAATAGATTTTAATCTATATTATTATAATTAGAAAATAAAATTTTCTGTGATAACATGTCCAACTAGGTCTGAACTGAAACAAGCCTATCTGCTGAAGGATGAATAAACTCTTATGTATGCAATTTGAAACTTCAAAAATTACCAACAGCATTTAGGAATGAGACAGTACAGTCCTAGTAAATTAAATTTCCATATTATCAACTGTTCTATATAATAAACAAGAAGAGAACAGCTTTTAATAATGGAAGATATTTCATTATGTTGTATGTCTGTTATGAAACACACTTATATCCATCTTATACAGAAACCTGCTATAATATAGAAATTATATATATTTTTTAATATGATTTCCTGATTGTTTATAAATTATGGGATAGTTTTAAAAGTGTTAAATGAAAAGATGAATGAATTAAAGTTTGCAAGTTCTCAGTCAAGGAAAATCTCATATTACAACTTTGTATTATTCTTATCTAATTCTTTAGCTGCAAAAACAACTTACAAAATCTAATAGTTTCCTTGTTTTTGATATAAAATTAAAAAAAAACTATTATCCTTATCAAACTAAAATATAGAATATATTTACTTGCTAATGATGACAAAATAATGCATAAAAAATTCATAAATCTCTGCTTCATAATAAAATAAATTATTCTGTCAAAAACTATTAACAAGCAAGATAAATTTTAAAAAAAATTATTATATATCAATTTTCTAGTCATAGGTCATTTATGTTGCATAGAAGCTTCTTATGATTCTTTATATAGATTTGAACATCAAAAGAAAAGTTACAAATGAAAAATGTTTAAATTTAAAGAGTTACAATTTGAACCATATTTTATGATTTTATGATTTACAAAAGACAAAAGTATTTTGTAAATCAAAATATGTATGCAACAACTAATACATTATTCTAATTTAAAAAAAAAAGCTTTTTTAATAATTTGATTATTAAAAAATGACAGATAAAGTAACAGCATAATCATAAGCATAACAGATTATCAAAATTATTTTAAAATAATAATGCACCTCAAAGCCTGTTACCAGTGTGAAATTAACACCAAAAAATGAAAAATTAATTTCCACAAACATTTTTGAACCTTCCAAATGGACTGTAATTAACTTCGGTGTTTGGTAGTGTGGAATTGTAATAATTAGCAATGCAGGCTAATCTATATATTTTAAAATACTTATATCATCACAATATATGGAAAATTTATTTAAAATTTATTAATTTACTCCTTTGCTCCTTTTATTTACTTAAAAATTTATCCTCTGCATTGAAATAATTAAGTTTATTCAGTTATAAATTATCAACTATTAACATATTCTATGTATATCTGGTATAAATTTGTCATAAAATATTATTTTATATTAAAAATTTTCAGTTTCAATATCTGTAATTTTATTTAATATACATTTTCTGATATAAAAAATCACATAATTAAATTTTTAAGTTGTTGTCAAAGTTGATTGTAAATTTAACAACCTTATAAGAAATTTACTACTATTACTACCACCACCACCACCACCACTACTACTATGATATGGAATTATTTATAAAAGAAAAGAAGTATTTTGTTTTGCTGCTTCAAATGAACAATAAATTAGCTTAACATATTGTAAAACAAGAAAAAATTTAATCAAATATTAATACGTATGTTCTGAATGCTGTATTTATATTGCAATTAAACAAGACAAAATTTAAATCTATATGCAATTTAATTAATTATATCATAGATTTTAGAATTATTTGTTAAATTATATGAATTATGCCAGATGTTTAAATCTTCAGTTTTTGAGAGAAAATGTCTTGCTCTTTAACTCCAAACATGTATAATGTAACATACAAAATTTTAGAATTTCATATGTCAAATGACAAAAATTTCATGAATCTCACTTTCAGAAATCTCACAAATTGCTTAGGTCTGTTATTCTGAAGCCTCATTAAGAAATTTGAATTTCCAAATTTATATTCAAATCATTTCTTCAGTGATATTTTGATTACAATGCAGAATTATCACAGGTATTAATGACAAATAAAATATTTGATAATTTTTTATTGTCATTAAGTATATAGTCTTAATTAAGGAACTCAAGATTTCCAAAATTTTTACTCAAAGAAATGCAGTTTGAATGGATTTATGTTTGACGCACTTTAATAAACATATTATTTATATTTACACTTGTCAGGATTTATTCAGTTTGCCAAAGTGCAGTAATGTAAGTTTATATTAATATATATAATATTAGGGTGGTTCTTATTATAGGAGCTAAAAACAAAAGTTATAGTTTGCCTAGGGGCATCTGCCTAACTTGTTCCAATATTGAAAAAGTAATATTCCCAAAATTTGGCTAGGGTTACTACCAAAGATGAAAACATTATATTTTGCTAAAAATAAAGAAAATTTAAAGTAATACATTAAGCATTTAAAATTTACATTTGGTAATTATCATGCTACAATATCACAAGAACTGTGTGTTTTTAAAGACAAGTAGGGATCAGTGTTTTATCCCAAATCCCAATTGCAGCTTTGGCATTATCTGCACTCTTTGGCTGTCTAGACTCATTGCTTCAAGTGGCCTGAATTTATAATCTAGGCCAGGGATGGCAAACTGTTGAGTCCATGTGCATATAGTTTGTGTGCACTGAAGTTTTAGACTTTAGTGCACACAAACTTTACACTTCAAATAACATAATCAAAGGAATGGAATGAACATGCTTTAATTAGAATAAATGTAAAAAGTTGATTGAAAAAAATGATGATTGGGTGATAAACCAAAAGGATGATTGAAAAAAGACAGTTAACAAACTGAAATCATATGATATATTATGTGCCAGATGATTTTGCAAGATGTGGCAATTTGGGTATGCATGCCATAGGTTTGTTTCCCCTGGTCTAGGCCCTAGATTGTTCCAGAAGATTGTAGAACATTAAGAAATGTTCTAGAGTTGTTTTAGAAGACCCAACATGGACTGTTTTATCTCATGTTCTATGATATTGTGCTCCTACTGTTATAGTTATGTAGATTTCTATTTCAACAGTGAGTGGCCCTACACTCTTAGCATTATGACATTTTTTTTATCATGGTAGTGACTCATAAATATTATTATATTAACCAGATTTTAAAAAAATAATTTTTTTTCATAATGGAACAGATTCAAAACATGCCCCATCCAACTTTCCAAAACTTAAAAATAAGGATTATCCTAATATATATAAAATTTCTGCTTGACGTAAATATATAATAACAATGTTTGGAATTTCTATACAAATATCTAAATATTAAAAATTTTCTAGCACTTCTTACTCATACATTTTGATTTAAATCAATTACAATTACCTACATGATAACAAACCTTCTCCTCATATTTAAATTAAGCACTAAATAATGAATATAGAGTAGAAGAGAAATATAAAAAGTTTCTTTTGTTAGTTATGAATGATTTATCACTAAAGAAGCATACTTGATGCATACTAACTTGGATGGAACTTATGCAAAAGTTGGTTTACAAACTATCCTATAATTAAAAAACAATCAAAATAAACCAACTCTTAGATATATGCATATAAATAAAAATTATTTATTTATCAAAAACTTTGACTGTCTTTGACAAGAATGTAAAATTGGTTGGTCCGTGAATTTCCAAGCCTTTAAGAAAGAGGAAAAAATGATATAATTAGAATTGCATAGAATGGATAGATTGGATAGAGATCTTTTGTTTCCACTAACAGAAATGTAGGAAATGTGTGTTTTGAATATAAAAGGAGGATTTAAACAGAAGAGTCTTGAAGTATTAATGTTTCTGCTAAAAGTAAGTTTGGAAATAAATTCTGTGTGTTTGCCTTTATAACAGATTTCTTGTACTTTATAATATATCCAATCAAAAACAAACAGTATTGTATGCAGTTTTAAAGTATCACTTACTGTAATATTAATTTTAAGGACAAAAATCTGATGTAAACATTTTAAATATTCTTTATGTTTTTATAAACTTGTTATTTATTGTTAGACATATTTATTAGTTCTGTTTCAAATTGTATTATATTGTTATCATAATATAAACAGAGTTTATTTCGATTCATTAGTATTGTATAAAATTCAAATGCTTCAAATAAACAAGCCCCTTGAATACACTCGAGTTTTGTTTTGAGGATATTTAACTAATAATTTGAAAAAAATCTTGTATATTTGAAACATGTTATATTTTGTTGTACATATATATATATATCAATGTTATAATTAAATATTAATATTTATTAGAGAAATATAGATTGTTGTATAATTTTAAACCTCAAAACTCAAAACTTTTAATTTAGTAAAATTAATTTAAAAGGTGAGAAATTTCTTATCCTTTTAATGATTTGATATAACAATTCCTGCTTACAATCATTTTAATATGTTTCAACATTTTAATAGCCTTTCAAATTCCATCTTTGGAAACTTTTATAACAAATTTGAATAAGTGTACTTAGGAAAAAATGAGATATTTTTCTTGTTTATTAAACTTTCTTTTTATAGATATTATGACTTTTTTACATTCTTTCTGCCCTACGGATATGATATATATAATGTTTTGATGCTCTTCATAGCTTTAGTCATGCTCATAACAGATGCAACAATGAAAGATGAAGCCTACATATCTGAATCAGATCATCTATCACAAATCTGAAAATGCCCAGACTTATGTCTGTATTCACAACCATGGATTAGAATTCAGAGGCATTATTTAACCAATTAGTATTTGTTTTATTTTAAACACTTGAGCATTTATTATGTTAACTTCTGAAATTGACTTTTAATTTTTGTTTTTGAATGCAGACATCAAAATGGCAAGTTGATATTATCACTTTAACCATTTAGTCATTGATATTGACTTAAAAATGAAAAGCTGAATATATGAAACATTTTATTTATTTTTCAATATCAATGGCTTCATTATGAATTTCAAATTATAACATCTAATAATGAATTAAAACATAATTATATGAATTTCTCTATCTTCATAATCATGGTGCTATGAGGAACAAAACCATTTTTTGCCTCACACAAACATTTATTCTAAATTGGATTTAAAGTTTTCAAAGATGGAAACTATATACAGTAATTCATAATATATTTAAGTATCAAATATGTTTTTATTCTATCCAGGAATTAAATAATTTTTGATTTTCATTGTAGATAAAAAATGTTTCAGAGGTTCAAAAAAATAACAACAAATAGATTATTATAATAATGAAAATGAAGAATATTCTATAATTATAACTGAAATCATTTTTGAGGAACAACAAATGATTACTTTTTATAAAAG